CCAAGGTTGAGCAAGGATGGTACACATGGTGATGGTGATGGCCATAATGGTTGATCAAGTGCTCAATTATTGGAAAAGAAGAAAGAGAAAAATAAAGAGAGAATTCCTTATTTGACACTGGGAAAATGAGTCGTTCCTTTCTTGGCCCTAAAATTTTCTTCGTTCCCTATTTGACACTCACTTCAACTTTCATTCCTAATTTGACACTACCGTCAAATCCGTTAGCTAACGGTGTTAACTGGCTGTTAAAAAGACATTTTTGCCCCTAGAAAAAAAAGCGGCGAAGCAAATTTGAGAGGAAAAAAAACATGCGTCTTTTTTTTGCAGCTGGGCGCATGCATCAGAGGCAGGCGCAGGTTTTTTTTTCTCTCAAATTTGTTTCGCCGCTTTTTTTTCTAGGGGCAAAAATGTCTTTTTAACAGCCAGTTAACACCGTTAGCTAACGGATTTGACGGTAGTGTCAAATTAGGAATGAAAGTTGAAGTGAGTGTCAAATAGGGAACGAAGAAAATTTTAGGGCCAAGAAAGGAACGACTCATTTTCCCAGTGTCAAATAAGGAATTCTCTCAAAAATAAAACCCTACGGGCTCAAGGCAAAGGTATAAGATAGGGTATTTGTTTTGCTGCTCAAGACGCAATAGAGTGTGTGATTGGGTTTAGGATAGATAGTCGTACTATTAAGAGGAGAACTCGAAGTTCAAAATGGTTATCTAAGTGCCACTAGATGAATTGACTCCTTGCATGTGCATTAGAACCTAGTGAGTACATGAAAAAACATTTGAAAAATGTTGAAAATGCTAACTCACTTGCACTAAGTGGTGGAACACTTTGGAGTTGGCACATTTGCAAAAGGGTTGAAGGTTTGAGCTAGAGGTGATCACTGTGGAGCATTGGCCGCTGACTGCGTAGGCATCAGACAAATTGACCTTGTTCGGTGGCTAACCCTAGCTCAGACGTGCACACAGCAGCATGCATCGGACAAAACATGTGCACTATTCATAGAGGCGTTGACTGATCATACAACATCGGACGCTGCGGGTTTGCCCGATGGTAAAAAATCGGTTCTGGAACCTCTCTGTTCCACATCGGACGCTTTGCCTCATTTGTCCGATGGCCATCGGACACACGACATTGGACACATTGGACTTGTCCGATGGCAAAAAATCGGTTCTGGAACCTCTCTATTCCACATCGGATGTTGGACCTCATTTGTCTGATGGCCATCGGACGCGCGGCATCGGACGAGTGTGCACAGACAAACGTTGGGCGGTAATGGCTCAATTCAAACAACTAGTTGACGACGCATAGACACGTGGAGCATCGGATGCTGGGCTTTTGTCCGATGTAGGCATCAGAGTGTCCGATGGTCCTGTGACTCCTATAGAAAATAGCCAATGGTTACTTGGCTCTTTGGGTGCTTATATATAGGGGTTGGTGGGCTTATGGCCGGCTCTCATGGCAGTTTGATGTCTTGTACACCCTTGTTAGCCTAAGCAAACACCTCCCACTCATCTCAGTTTTGATTTCATCCTAAGTGATATTTGAATGATCCTAGTGCATTTGTGTTGAGTTGAGGCATCTAGTGACACTAGTGATCATTTGAGCTGCGGGATTCTTGTTACTCTTGGTGGTTACCACCACCTAGACAGCTTGGAGGCAATGGAGGATCGTTGAGCAGATTTGGTGACCGTTGTCGGCTCCGATCGATTGATTGTAAGGGGCTCTTGTGTTCATTCCCCATGGGAGATTCGCAAAGAGCAACTCTAGTAGAATCATAGCTAGTTAGAGTGCACTTCTCGGTTGGTTCTTGTGGCACCCGTATAGTGGGCTTGGCGTGCGAGGCCAATTAGCTCAAGAACCATTGAGTTGAGACTCATCATAACGAGGACGTAGGTTGCCGGCAAGCAACCGAACCTCGAGGATATATCTTGTGTTCACTTCCCCCATTGGTTTGCTATCCACTCACTTGTTTGTTACTTTCATATTCTTTCTTGTGAGTAGTTGTAGTGTGCATTGTTTGCTTGTATAGCCTAATGGTAATTAGAGCTAGTTTTAGTTGCTTTGTTAGTAGCTCTTGTTAGTTGTAGCTCTCTAGTTGGTAGTAATAGCTTGTTTTGCTTGTGTGATACAACCTAGAGACCAAGCTACTAGACTTGTGTAGGACGCTTGCATTGGGTGAATTAGAACTAGAGCAAATAGTTGTTATTAGCACCATCTTTTGTACTAATGAACTTGCTCTAGTTAAGTGAGAGTTTGTAGGAAATTTTTATAGGCTATTCATCCCCTCTAACCATCTAGATCCTATCACAAACGCATAAGCGATGGTCTAAACACTTCGCAAAGCACATACACTAATCACTAAATCTTCTCTTAAGCACATGTGGTGGTTAGAGCACACTCTAACCCGTTCGCTGGTCTGAAACTTGGCTGAAACTAGCTGAAAACACTGTTCCGGCTGAATTGTTGTGAGAGAAAAACACTGTTTCGGCTGAAAAAAAGCCGAACAAACCGAATATAGGGTAAGCCGAACAAAGCCTGACACCTTCAAATAGGTCAGCTAAGGGGGTATATATAGCCCAAAGGACTGAACTAGCCGTTGGGCAAACTACTGCTGTGCAGTGAGCACCGGAAAAGTCCAGTGCACCCACCGCAGAAAAAACGATGATGCATTGATGCCACTGTACTAGCTGTTTGAATTCGATTGGAGCTGCCAATCGTTGGGCCCTTTTCTCCGGTGGTTTATCCGGTGCCCCCACCAGACTTATCTGGTGGTTTCAATTCCATTCTGTGACCTCTTTGTTCAGCGTTGCTTTCTCCATTCCTCATCCTTCAATCATTGGAGATTTTCAGTGATACCAACTAAACTATATTGCCCTCATTCCCTCCAAGCTTTCTCCGGTGCAGTCATTTTTTTTTTCGAGCATTGGAGTTATCCAGTGACACTAAAACCCTCGATTCAATGCACTACACACCCTATTCTCTGGTGTCCTATTCTCTGTAGCATCGGACATATCCGATGCATGCGGTTTGCATTTAACTTTGGGCTGTTCCGTTCGTGACCAGAGCCTGCCATGACAGAGGTTAATCATGCCACGTTTTTTTTTTGGCAGCTATTTCGTTCGCTACCACAACTACAACGTGCTACACTTTCTTAGCATCATATCCCACACGATAGACTCATTTTCTTGCCGAAGTTTGCCACAAGCGTGGCTTCAATTTTTCTCGTCAAACTTTTTGTGGCAGTTTGCCGAAGGTTTGGCATGGCAAACTGTGGCAAGAACCAAACAGACCTTTTGTTTCTTTATGTCTTCGTGCCCGGACTTCTTCTATATTGTGTCTTGGACTTTTAGCATGCCTTGTAGGTTTTCTATAGCAGCTCTAGTATCTTGCTTGAGGTGTTGATTTCCAATCTTCATGTTGCCTAAGTCCAGCCCAATCTTGCATCGATTTGAACTTAACCTTATATACTAGCAAAATTTATCAGTCCAAATGGTCATTTGTTCATGAAGCACCAAAATCACTTAATGGCCTATGCAAGCTGGCATTTATCTTAGACACGTCATGTGAAACACACAAAGATGCTCAATGCAGAATCTCTACACAAGGTGACTACAAGAGCCGGGTGATAGTGGTGAGCCTATTTGATTCACGTACTAGACTTTCGTTGGTATAAACCTTGCGTGATAAATCCAACACCGTGGGCAGAAGAGATTTAGTGACCAGAAGTGTACCTCGGTAGAGTTTCAATTTTGGTAGAGTAGTTTACGATTTTTTTAGTGGTAGGTACTTTAAATTGAGCCCTAACGCCTGGTCCAATTCACCCCGTTAGTTTTGCACGGGAGCTTGGACGGTTTTCACGGGCTCATCAGCTCTTGCTGCGTTTCGCAATCTGAGCACTCGGTAAGTCGGTATGAAACCTTTACTACGTCAACACATTTGCATGACACATTTTTATATATAAAAAGATATCCAACATCAAAGCAGGCGAAGCCATTTAATTTATCTCCAATGTTCATTTTCTAAAGAAAAGGAAACCTTCATTTAACTTGATTAATTGTTACAAAAAATTATAAGGTTTCACCTCTATAAATTAAAATATAAGCCGACATCGTACGGAAAAGAGACCACGATCACACATTTTATATTATTATTATTATAATATTCAGTTGCACCTCATGGATGCGGTATGCCGCCCTATCGGTGCGTTTAGGATTTCCAGTTGAAAGCTGAATTGTTAGTAGAAAATTTATTTGGTTCAAACACAGGATATACTGCAAAAATCCGATGGCATAATATCATGACGTTATGAAGACTGTAGTATACTCCTTCAGTCCAAAAAGAATATAAAGCTCACTTTTCCAAAGTAAATCAATCTCAAGTTTGACAAATAATAAGTGTTATTAGATTAATCATATAATAAATTTTAATAGTAAACTTATTTATAATAGATACAATAATAACTTTTTCTATAAATCCGGTAAATCTCAAGATTGATTGACTTGACTACTGAGAAACGAGATTATCATTCTTTTTGAGACAGTGGAAGTAACTATTAGACAAGTCAAGTTGAACAGTACAGTACAAGTAGTCAAGACTTCACCCTCGAGTCCTCAACCCACACAGCTAACAAATACGTATAATACTCATATCTATACGACGATAAACACATGTCCCGTGAAAAGCTGAGAAGGCGAGCACACATAACTTGCTCAACTAACAGTTAATGCAGTCTATTTCTTGAACACTGCTGTGCATGTAGTAACCCACACAAACTGCAACCAATAGTATTACCGGAATCAATAGCCTCAGCACAAACCACAGCGTGGACCCCTTGCTACCATCGGTAGTGAAGAATCTCCTAAGCATTTCTGTCAGTGGCCATAAGAGCCCACGCTTCTTGTTTAGTACCTGACTCATTTGATCCTTGAAGCAGCAACAACAGCAAATTTACAGTTAGACCAATGGCCATCAAGGTATCTCAGGGCAAGGTGGGGCCAGGTTCAGAGGGAACTTACATTGTCTTCCGTGTCTTCAAGCTTGCTCAGCTTGGAAATCATGTTGCCATACAATTTGGCATCCCTTCTTTTGTACTCCTTGACCTTCTCCTTCAGCCTCCTGTACCCCATCTTCACATCCCTGATAAAAGAGAATGAGTTATTACTTGTATCAACATGCAGGTTAAAGTTTCTGCATAGAAACATATTGCAAAGGACTGAGTTGTGCTTGCGTGTTTGATGCCATCAACTGTTGACTTCCCGGATTGCATTGAAAATATGATATGTAACAGAATTAGCTGGCAAGTTATTCTCAAGGATTTTCATTAAGCCAACTTCAGTACTACATATTATTAGCATGTCCGGGGTCTGTAATTTAATCAAGTAAACAGTACCAACAAAGTATTACCTGTTGTCAGGATCTATTTCTAGAGCTTTCTTGATACCTGTACAAGGCCTTCACATTTGTGCTGTCAGATTCCAGGACCTAAATACCAATACTTATTGTAAGCACAGTTTTTTTCTTACTATAAGTATATAATTCCCAAGATATTTCAGTTTATTCTGTGTATAGTACCTCGGTACACAGTTCCTTTGCTTCCTTGTAATAATTGAGTCTTAGTTTACATGCAGCATTGTTGAGCTTGCAGCTTATCTTAAGTGGTTTTGATAGTTGCTTCTCTTCTTCACTGAAGGAGCTATCGAACTCGATGAAGCTCAAAGCCTGAGAAAGAGCAAAACAATCTTAAATACCATTTTTAGCATAATGCAAAGAAGGTGCAAAAGGTTCTTTGAAGCCCGGCGCTGAAAATTTTGACCTTTTCATATCTCTTAGAAGCCCTGGCATACTTGCCGACTTTAAACCACACATTCCCTTCTTCTTTCCTTTTAGCAGCTGCTTCAATCTTCTCAGCAATGTTCTTCAAGTCCCATGAATCTTTCTCCTGCATGAAACGGCAGGTAGGATCTTAATTTCATCAAAACCGATCAATACACCATACAAGCTCTGGCATTGCACATTTACCTTATCAAATGAGACAAGCTCCATTTCGTAGTAAACAGATGAATTAGGTGGAACTGTAGCCAGATCTTGATTTGTTTCATTAGTTCCAAAGGCATGATGAGGAGGAATAGTGACCAAGGCTACTTCTCCTTTCTTCATGCTGAGTACTGCTTTGTCAAGCCCTTCAATCACTTGATCCTCATCAGTCTTGAACTCAAATGGCTCCTCACCATCATGACCTTTCTTGACAAATAAGGTACCATCCTCCAACTTCCCAATAAGTTTCACTGGAAAGCAAAAACATTATAATTTGTACCAGAAATAAAAAAGAAGAGAACAATACCACAAATTCAGTTATGAGATTATTTGAAAGGAACAATTCATCATAGGTTATCATGTACCTCGGACAATTGCACAATCATTGGGACGTTCATAGCCTTCACCCTCCTTAAGGATCTTCTTAAGGATCTTTTTGTCATTGCCTAACTCAGTGACTGTCCTCCAGGACACCACTTGAAGACCAATGTGCAATGCCGCATTAGGAGGCACAGAAGCTTCTTCTCCAGAGGCCGGTCTACCTTTCACACCAAAGCCATCTGTTCATCATACACGACACATGTTAGATATGCATCTACTCACACATTGTACCAGGTCCATTATTAACATACTGCAAACTCACATTGTGGCATGACAGTGAGGTGGGCCTTCTCGTTTTTCTTCATAGTCTTGACAGCCTTTGATATGGCAGGGCAGAATACACCTGGAAGAAACACAACATTCTTGCATAAGAAACTGACTTTTAAAAGCTAGAACTACAGTGCAATTACTAAAAAATGGCCAACATACCATCTCTCACAGTGAACTCAACACCATCAGATTTCGATACAACTGTTCCATCCTCAAGCCTTGCTTCATACTTAACTATAGAAAATATCCAAATAAACCTTTAAAAATTTTGGTCACTGAAAAGGCAATGTGGAATCGAACACCAGAGTAGATCATGGTACAGTACCAAAAACTTCATCAGGATCTCTGGGGTTCTCCCACTTATCGCCTTCGGCTAGTACCTTTTTCAAGATGCCTCCATCCTTGCAAATGTCCTTGATACACACCCATGACAGAAGCTCAACGTCAAACTGCAGCGTGGCATTTGGAGGGATGACTGGTGGTGAGCCATCTTCACCATATGCAAGCTCTGGTGGGATTGTGAAAACAGCATTTTCGCCTTTCTTCATGGTCTTGATGCCCAAATCCCATCCCTTTATAACTTGTCCTATAGGGAGTAACAATATTGTTTACTTTAGAAACATGCGCCATTTCACCATAGTGTATACTTTAAGCAAGTTAAGTTCAATTATACTACATAAGGAGAATACTCATGTGCAACTTCGTAGTAGTAAACCAGTAGGATCAAAACAATACACACTAACCAGAATGCTCTGTATGCAGTATAATTGACAGAACCTACAGCACAAAATCTCCAGTCACTTTCAATTTCAATGTGCAAACAAAACCTGAAACAAAGTACTTGTTCTTCTACTCCGATGAGGAATAGTTAATTTTGACTTAAAATCAGGATGTTAGGATACAGATCAATTAGACGTCTAGTACAGGAACTAAATTTTGTAACTACCATTTAATATCTCAGATCACCTAATGGCTTGTTCATTGCTATGTGTCATATTGTAGTAGTCCAGCAATGTTGTAAAAATTTGGTCAATCACACATGGAAACAACATTTGAAAAATAACTGCAGCAACAAAGGAAAGCATGATCTGCTGCTACTAACCCTCAGTGGCGGACGTAGGATTTTAGCACAGGGTATGCCACACAAAAAAATTCTTATATAATTCGGTAAAACCATTTTCAATTCAGTAAAACCACATGCATTAATAACACGAAAAGACTTAAATTCAAAGATTAAACTAGAAACTACAACAAATACACTATAAAAGTTCAAATGAAATACAAATAATTTAAAATATAGCCATAAAAGAGACTTATAATACTACTTGTCTGACTTATTTACTGTCGCTTTCTGAATGCCACCGGTAAAAACAATATCAATCACAATTCATAAATAACTCATATGACATGTTATCTTCTAATAGTAATGTTGGGCGAACTACAAACTAATCTCTAATCACTGACCTGGCTAATCTCCATGATACACAACTAATGTTGGATTGCCGACTTTGTAAAGGGGACATGACGTTATAAGGTTTTCATTTCATTTCATGGCATATCTCACAGGACACAACAAGATTGCATTGTACAATGATGCCGAGGTGATGTCACTTTTATTTGCCATTACATATATTTCAGGACATGTCTCCACAGGGACACAACAATGTGGGATAAAAGAAACTATAAAATAAAAGACAAAATATATCATATATATATACATAGTTATTAATATTAAGAGAGGATACAAGATCAGAAATTAAAAACTACTCGTAACTAAGGTTTTACGGGACACAACAAGATGGGATAAAAATAGGAAAACTAAAGAAAGAAATATATTATATTATCTACATAGGTAATTTTTAAAGGGGATATAAAAATGGAAAATCAAAACAAAAAACGCTACTTCGAAGAATCTATATAGGTAATTTTTAAAGGGGATATAAAAATGGAAAATCAAAACAAAAAACACTACTTCAAAAAATCAACTAGCGACCTAGTGGATGAAAGGAAACAGACTTACCACTGGGTTAAGAAGGCATAATGTAAATTCTAATTGGAAGTTTCTTTATCTAACTATAATTCAATGTTATTAAGTACAAGGCTGGCCCCACAGGGTATGCCATGGCCCACCAGGCATACCCTGTGGGTCCGCCCCTGCTAACCCTCCCTACATTTATATTTTGCTACACAGTACATTGGCCGTTTATGTGGGTGAAAAAGAAATACAAAATTGTGCAAACACAATCAGTCTCAAATCCGCTGTCCTGGTGGCTCAGTGATCAAACTAAAGTACGGAGAGTAGAATTAAAATACCTAGTAAGATGCCAGAACTACATTGTCAAAGTGCTATCAGCCAACTTAAAGAACCTAGTAAGATTTCAAAACTCCTCTATTGTATCTGTATACAGTATGGACACAGCCAGCGAATATGCACATCAGCTGCATGTAAGCCAATCCTGATACCTCCTCTGCCATTAGTCGTTGGAAGTCAAGAATGTTCGCCAGACTCAGTACTGAATGCTAATTGTAATATACATCAGCGATCAGTAATGTAGTTGACCGATTCTAGAAAGAAAAACAAATTTCACAACGTAAGCAGGATTCTGATATCAAACCTACGTGACTTAAATTTGATCTTAGTTCCAACTTCCAAATGAGGTAGTGTAAATGTGTAATGCCAGAGCAGTGTGATGATACCTTGGCCCAGCGTGAACTTGAACGGGGAGTCACGATCCCTGCTGGAGTCGAACTTGGTGCCGTCCATCAACGTCCCCGTGTAGTGAACTGCACCGCCAAAATCAATCCAGTGAGCAAGCGTTTCCCAATCCAACCCACAGTCGCGTCTCGTCTCACCAGAAATTCAGAATCGAAACGCACTCCGGAGAGGCGAATCTCAGTATTATCTCACCTTCGACCTCGTCGCCGTCGCCGGGGCGGTCCCATCCCTCGCCCTCCTTCACCAGCTTCTTCTTCAGCCCCTCCTTCCCGATCTCCCTCTCCTCCCCAACCTTCAACTCCGCGGGAGGATCGTCCCCTGCCCCCGCCCCTGCTCCGGCGCCGGCGTGGAGGTCATTCATGGCTTCGTCGTCGTCCTCGCCGCCTAGGCCGCCGTAGCCCCCCATCCCCATGGGGCCTCCGAGGCCGTAGCCCCCATCCCCATCCCCATCCCCATCCCCATCGCGCCGCCGAGGCCGAGGCCTCCCATCCCCATCCCCATCCCCATCATACCCATGGGGTCGTACCCGCCGGCCGCCGGGAAGTCGTAGTCGTCTTCCATGGCCTCCGGAACCGGACCGGAAATGGAAGCTTCTAGAAGGAGGGAGGAGTGCGACGCGAGTGGCTTCTCGAGCCGGGCGGGGGCGTGGACCGCGTGCGCCTTTCGAGTTTCGATTCCCGAGATCGATGCGCCGGCGGCGCTTTTGGAATTATAGCGTGGGAGTGCGCGCGTGAGACTTGAGACTTGAGCATGTGTTTCCGGAGTCCGGACTCTCGGAGCGTGGTGTTCTAGAGAGTTCTTGAGATAGGGCCGTTGCGCGGTTGCCGCTGGACAGTGACAGCTAGGGCCACATTTATACATGGCCCAGTCATCTGTGAGTGAGTAAAGCGAGGTCCGTGGATTAGGCTAGACCAACGAAAGGGAAAGGAATGGATAGCGGCTTCCGGCTTTGATGGTCCCCGGGGAACAGTTGGCAGCTGCGGAACTCTCTGGAATCGCTCTGCCATTACCACGCAGTCTATCAGTACTCATAACGGATGTGTTGATCGGCTGGTGTTCGTTTGTTGTTTGAGAAAAGTATAATAAGTTGGTGGATAAATTTTGGCTGAAACTAAGAAGCGAATAGGCTGAACGTCTTCATTCAAAAATCTTTTAAGTTTAGCACATGTGTGATGGGATTCTAAAATGTGGATCTTGAATAAAAATAATTTCTAATGTTTTTGATTCTGTGCGCATGTGTTAGAATCTTCTGAAATCTAGGATGTTTGGATGGAATTTTAGAATTTTGATATCTTTTCTACCAAGATTCTTAAAATCCCTATGTATACGTAGGCCATCTTAACTAGTAGTAAGTCTGTTTATTGTCTAGTACAATTTAAGAGCATATTTGGATCTATTAGCACTAAAATCTAACAAGCTAATAGCCAATAGCTATTTTTAGCTCGCTAATTTTCTGGAGGAGGCCATTTCGATCCACCTGCTAATAGGTGGTTAGATATTAAGTTGAAGGTGTAGAAGGACATTAGCATCTATTAACAACTCCAAACTAATAATATGACAATATCTATTAAACATGTATCAAATTATAGTACGACTTTGTATAGAAAAATACAATTTGAATGATTTTTTCTCTTGTATAAATGAGAAAAATATTTAATTATAAATATATCATAGCTTTAATTTCTATACTATCCATACGCTGTTATAATAATCAAGTTTCGTGCTTCTTTTGAGTACCCATAAAAATCTTTAATTCTAAATCTTTGATTCAAAGTCGATAAGAACTGAGTTGTCAAGATGTAAAGTACTGGTTTGTCCGCTAACGTTGCAGCAAGACGCCTCTCTCTCTATTTTGTAAATAGTGGCACTCGTTAAAATTGTACTGATGCATGCATATAATCAAAAGACAAATTCATTTAGACCGGACTGGATAACAAACTGATCAATATTTTAATTCGTAGTTTGATTAGTTGGACAATTGGTTGAACCACATTTTAATAAGATAAACTTTATTCTTAATCAAAATTTCATCAATAAATTTGGTGGTGTGGAAATCTTTATTTTACAGAGAAGAGTTAGGAATCGAAAGACACGGGGAAAAAATGGAAACACTCAACAAAAACGCTCTCGGACGCGGGAAACGCTTGGACGGCGCTCACGTATCCTACTCACGAAAGCAGGATGCAGGAGACCAGATGATGACGAACAAAAACCGAAGGGTATTTTGGCGCGGGCGACGGACGAAACCAAAAGGTATTTTGGATACAGAGAAAGTGGGTTATTAGAAAAAAAAAGTTTCACTCTTTAATATTACCACTAGCAACCATGTCCGTGCATTGCGGCGGAAAAAAAATTATCAAATATTCATGAAGAACAATGATAGGAATGATACATATTATTTCTCACTATTTATAAAATGTAAAAGTTATAATTTATTTTGTTATGACCATGGCATATAATATAAGTTAATGTTTATAACAATATGACAGTCTTTTTTTAATTATATTGTTGACACTAAAAAAATGTTCCAAGATGATTTTGGACACCACCAATAAGTTCTAAATGTCTCGAACATACTAGAGGTCAAACGGTGTCGACGAAATATAGTCGACAGTCTACCAAGAGATATGTCCACAGTAGTAGATGAATCGATGGAGATTCATGAGATACGAACTAGATGGTGACATAGACGCAGAGACAACGATTAAGGCAGGTTCAGGCTGTCAAGTCGACATAACACCCTACATCATATGTCTTCGATGGATTGTATATTATGACGAGATATCTGGGGATCCTAAGCTAAGCCTAAGGTTTGTATCAGGATGCCGACTAGAGAACCTCTGTCCCTCCTTTATTACATCTGGAGGGGTAGGGTTACAAGAAAAGTATCCTAGTCGATTATATGTAAGTATGCTATTTAGATTATAATATCTATAGTATTCGATCAGATCTTCTAGGTACTTTGCGGTGTACGCCGAGCAGTACCGTGCGCCACAAGTCTTAATGTCGTAGGCTGGACCGTCCCTAATGGTGTGGCCCATGTCCCTTGCCGTGGGTACCTGGGGTTATACCCCCCACAACTAGTCCCCGAGTGCCTTGTATCCGCTTGGTTACGCCGTCTTGATCAAGTCCGAACAGTTTAACTTGAAGCCAATCAGTTTAACCGGTAATCCGAGCGGTGAAAATAGATGCCGACCAGTTTAACTGGTTAGCAGATCTTGGACTTATCCAAGTAAGGCTTTGAAATGTCCTAATGGCTAAAGGGGAAGTGAATAGCCTATAAAAATTTCTACAACAACAATTAAGCCAAGTAGTTAGTCAATTAAACGGCGAAGCGAGTGTCGCGCTAGCCTACTCAAAATGTAAGCCACCAACCACAATTTTAGTTACTATTGTATCTAAGCACACAATGCTAGGTCACTACCACTAAGTTAGTGAGCTCTCAAAGACTAACTAAAGAGCCTCACTAACCACTAGACAAGACACAAGCTAGCTCTCAAAACTAATTACACTAACGAGCGTAGCAACACAAGGAATATAAATACAAGAGAGGGGATGTGATGTTTATACCACCGTGTCGAGGAATGAACCAATCACAAGATGATGACAATCAATCACAATGAATACCAAGAAATCCTTGGAGACAATGATGACACACGATTTTTTACCGAAGTTCACTTGCTTGCCGGCAAGTTAGTCCGCGTTGTGGTGATTCACTCACTTAGAGGTTTACGCGCTTAAAGGCATCACACGCCTAGCCCGCAATCGGGTGCCGCACAACCAACATAAGATAAGGATCACACAAACCACGGGCAATCTACTAGAGTACCTTTTGGCTCTCCGTCGGGGAAATGTCAAGAACCCCTCACAATCACCACGATTGGAGCCGAAGACAATCATCTTCCTTCGCTCGATGATCCTCGTTGCACAAAGCCGTCTAGGTGGCGGTGACCACCAAGAGACACAAGCGAATCCCGCAGCGAAACACAATTACCAAGTGCCTCTAGATGCAATAACTCAAGCAATGCACTTGGATTCACTCCTATTCTCACAAAGATGATGTATAAATGATCGAGATGAGTGGGAGGGCTTTGATTAAGCTCACAAGGTTGCTATGTCAATGCAAATGGTCAAGAGAATGAGCAAGAGCTAGTCATGGGGCTTAAATAGAAGTCCCTAAGAAATAGATCCGTTGGGTCACATAAGTGACCGTTGGACTCTGCTGCACGGGCCGTCGGACCGTCCGACGCAGGGTCTGACGCCCTGTCGTGGCCACTCCCGCGCTGCCACGCGTCCCAGTCAAACGAGCCGATTGTTGCCGCCAATGGTCAAGCAGATTGCACGCTGATTACAATAGTTGGACCTACGCCGTCAGACCCGCCTTCAGACTCCACACAGGGAAGGTCCGACGTGGTCTAGTAAGGTCCAGAGGGTACAAAACCGGTCGGACCCTGGTCCGATGCCCATTGTCAGACTCGCCCCCTGGTCTGACGCCACCACATGTCACGCTAGGACGAGCCGCACACTTACCACACTGAGGAACAGTGAACATGACCTATCCGACGCCTCCTTTCGATAGGGTCCGACGCTGAGGGTCCGACGCCTGTCAAACCTACACCGAGAGGTTCCAGGGCCGTCAGACCGAGTCTGAAATATGGCCACCAGACCCAAGCAGGTTCGACGCTCTCCTTGGAGCGCTCACAGGCCACCACGTCAGTACCCCGGCTAGGGCTAGCCATCGGACCCAGCCAGAGGTCGGTCCGATGCTTTTGTGAAGCAGGGTCCGACGCCCTTGTTTCAGCTCCTTTTCAAGCGCGAACACTTCACCCTTGCTCAAATATGCCAACTACCAAGTGTATCACCTTGTGCACGTGTGTTAGCATATTTTCACAAATATTTTCAAGGGTGTTAGCACTCACTAGAATCTAAATGCATATGCAACGAGTTAGAATATCTAGTGGCACTTTGATAACCGCATTTCGATACGAGTTTGACCCCTCTTAATAGTACGGCTATCTATCCTAAATGTGATTAAACCCACTAGGTGTCTTGATCACCAAAACATAAAAGCTCCTATGGATATCACCTTTGCCTTGAGTCCATTTTGTTTTTCTCTTTCTTCTTTTTCAAGCCTGAGCACTTGATCATCACCGTGGCCATCACCATCTACATGATCATCACCGTTTGCTTCACCACTTGGAATGTGCTTCCCTATTCTCATGATCACTAGAGCAAGTAGGTTAGCACTTAGGGTTTCATCAATTCACCAAAACCAAACTAGAGCCTTCAATCTCTCCTTTTTGGTAATTGATGACAACACTTTCACAAAGATATGAATTGAAATTCAATTTAATCCATGTTGCATGCCCAAGCATATTTACTATGTGTAAAAGGATATGGACAAGTTTCATA